TGGTACTCTCATCCTACCATCGCCTCCTCTGCATCAATTACATTTAAATAGATTAGGTTATGATATGAGCATGCTTTGCTTTTTCTTTGTTTTAGGTGACTGATATGGGGAAAATTTTGTCTTCTTTCCCTCTGCTTTCTTTCTCTCTTCACAAGAACTCAAATGGTTCTTCCCTCTGTCACTATTATATTCAGATGTATATTCCCAGTGAAAGGACAAAGGGTGTCTCCTCTAAATAACAACAAAAAAAATTTTAGATGGGATTCTTTTTTTATACATGAATACCAACTAGCTGCAAAGGTACTCCTTGTTTATTAAAAATAAATATATATATATATATATATATATATACATATTTTCATTAGTTGCTTAAATTCTTAATTTTATCTATTTTATTTGGTTATTCTCTGAACATCATAAAAAGTACTGAAATGACAACAGCATAAACACAAGTGTAGTGTAAAGCAGTTAAATTCAACAGCAAAACATGTATGTATGGAAGCATAAGCAGTCAGAAATTTAAGTTTAACTTTTGATCAATATTACAAACCCTCCCCTTATATCTTCATCAATTAAGGTTTTAAAAACATCGTACATCCAGTTGGTTGGACCACCAGTTCCGTTTCGGCCCCAAACAGTTATTTAAAAAAAAAAAAAAAACTGTTAAATTGGCCAGTGGTCTCCGTTGTTCTGGACGGTTGAACCGTTGAATTAGATAATGGGTTTTTAGCCTTTTTTTTCAAGTATCATGGATATGGTTTTTGAACTTCCGTTGATTCAGATGGTTGGACTGTTTGGATCAGGAATTGTTTAGGCAATCGATTCTATTTTACTCTAAACTCGGTCCCTAATAAAAAATCGTTGAATCAGTCAATAATCTGTTGATCTAGGCGGTCAAACCGTTAACCTATTCAATGGTTTTTGACCATTTTATTTATAATTATTTTTTTTTAATTTTTTGTTAGAACGGATCATCCATTCGAACCGTCTACCCAAAATCCAATGGCTAAAACGATTCTATTTCCGGATCGACTTTTAAAACCATGATCATGGACTGATCCATTCAGATCAGATGGTTGAACTGCTGACTTAAAAACCGATGGCCAAAGTGATTCCGGTTTCTGGTCAGTTTTAAAACATTGATGAACTGGGTTGATTAACTTGAGTATGAGAATGCTTAACCAGTTCCAGGAAGGCAGGACCTCTTTTTTCTGACTGGTCCGTAGCCTCTTAACCATTCAAAACATGGTTAGGCACCCATGTTTTGTGGCATGTGAATCCCATAAACATGCTTTAGTTTAAATGGTTTACATGACTGGGACATGCCAAAGATGCTGGTCTGATTTATCATTACTCTATTGAATATGATAAGAAAAGATTGGTTATTTGTATTTTGCACCTTTTTTGTGGCTACATAAGAGTTTAATATTAGCTATTTGCTAATAATAGCAAATAGTATACCAGTCATTATCATACTAATTAACAACTGGTCATTACATTACAACAACTATTATTATCCTTTTTCCCCCAAAAGCAATGTTAGGGCCTAATACCAAACCAAAAGATTCCATAGTAGGATATGATGGAATCGCTCGACCCCAAATGTCCACAAACAACTTTAAGAAATTGAATATTTGCTAAAAGGGCAGTCCAGTGCATGAGGCTCCCACCAATGTGCGGTCTAGGGAGAAATAGATTTATCCAGTCTGTTAATGAAAATTGAGAGGGCTTTTGATTTGTTTGAAAGTAACAAGTTTGTGGATTTTCTTGCCAACATTGGGTATGATCCAGGTTTCTAGGGTGGCACTTCCCTTCGTCTATGTTAGCGTTCTCTTACTGCTTGTACCAAATGCTTAGATTGGAAGGAATACAAATACAAATATATACTGTATAAATACATACAAAATCTACTTAAAATAGCCTTTTAATGCTGTACAAACTACAAATTCACAGTGAAACATGAACCCATTTGATAGTTTGCGGTCCAAATTGGTATGTCTATAAAAAATTCACAGTGAAACATGGATCGACTTACATTTGATAGTTTGCGGTCCAAATTGGTATGTCTACAAAATTTGTAGCCCTAAATTTCACTCCAGGTGAAAGTGTGGTCATGTTAAATTTTATTAACCATTATCAAAAGAATAATAAAGAGATACTGGAGAGGACGTAGCCGCCTTGCCTCTAACACACTCACCCCATACCCATACAAGCCTAGAAAATTTGATTTTGGCACCATTCTATAACTTGTCCCATATTGATTCATGCTTTCAATTATGGTTTATTAGCTATTGAAAAATCAACCAAAGTGAATAACCTTATCTTCAAATTTCTAGACCAAAGAAATTAAGGTCAGTAATTACGAAGAAAAGAACAAATTATTATTATTTTTTTATAGTTATCTCACCAATAATCTTCATTTGAGGATAAAGCTATCTCTTTCAACACATGGAAGAACAGTATAGCTAAGAAGTATCGACTATTCATTATGCATGCATTACTTGTGATTGACTGTTTGGTTAGTACCATCACATCTACATTTCAGTTTTTAATCCATTATCCAAAGGACATACTAATCCATTATTTTCTTTCTTACAAGAAAAACCTTTTCTACTAGGGTCCATTTATTTCATCATTTTTATGATGAAACATTCAAATCACTATTGAAATGATAAAATCAATCATAAAATAAATATGAATCATGCAAAGAAAAAGATGATAAAATTCAAATTATATTATTGGGATAAGTGAATAGCCAAGAAAACTCATAATAAAATAATCAGATATTAGAGATAATTGAATAAAAAATTAAATTAAAAAAAAAATAAAACAAACAATCAAATAGGATGGGCTACTTATTTTCCCCAAAGGACATACTCATCCATTATTTTCTTTCTTATAAGAGAAACCTTTCTATCTATCAGGGACCATTTGTTTCATTTCATCATAAAAATGGGCATAAACCTCATTTCACACTTAAATATTTGAGCTATATAGATTTACCTCATTTAATTTGAAAACCATGCTTTCCTTATATCATGACAAAATTAGGTCCCCCTCGAAGAGAACTACTCTTAATCTGCACATCAAGAGAAAGAGAAAGGACGAGCTAATATAACCTAGATTCAGTTTTTGTCAGTTGTATTAGCTTCACGGCTTCACCTACCCCCTTCATCCCCCCAATGTCCGGTCCGGATCCGATAACGATTATTCCCATGTACTGTCACAAATTTCGGGTCCTCCCCGAGAATTCATCCAACCCATTTCGGATGATTCTAAGTTCTAACTGTAAGATTTGTCACTTTCGTTCACAGTAAGTCTCATCTGGATCAAATGGTCATGGTTGAACTCACCAGACCCAGATTTTCTTCCTGCGTGCCCAACTTTTGCAGCTTCCATAGAGTACTTTGAACCAGTTTATCTAAAGAAAAAAATAATGTGTTTCGTTCCTTTATTCGTTTTATCCCAATTAATTTCTTTGTTAAAAAAAAAAAAAAAAAAGAATGGTCACTGTTGAACCGGAGGATCATCAGTCGCTGTTTGGGTGGGACAAGAAAATAAAATAAATATTTTTTTTTAAATTAAAGTTGAAGCCTGAACAGGCGAAAGCGTACGATCGGACGGACGCTCTGGCGGTGACAAACAGAGAGAAAGAGAGAGAGAGAGAGAAAGAGGCTTTTAACTCTGGGCTCTATCTTGTGTGATACTGATTACGACGTAGGTAAATTGAGATTTGAGGGAGTTAAAAACTCAAATTTGTTTGCCTCTTCAGAGCCAATAAGTTTTGGACACAATAGCACTCACAGGGGCCTACCCAGCGGGACCACTCCCGCATGATCACCTGATTTTGCCTTTTGGGACAGAAAATAAGAAATAGTGCTGAATCAGTAAAAAGGGGTGGGNAGCGCGGGAAAGAGGCGGTAATTAAGATCTACGGTGGAAGAGACCGTCAAAGATTACGTCCAGATCCGGTTTTGCGCTTGTCGGGATCGGGAATCGTCGGCACGCGTGGACCTCCTTTTTGTCCGTTTCTTTACGGTTTCGGCTCTAGTGCTGCCCGAGACGGAGACGGCCCTGCCCCCGATCCCACCCATCAACCATCTGTTTTCTATTTTTCGCGACAAATTGAAATTATTATTAAAATATCGCCTGGGTTGCGGTTTTATGCTTTTATTTATTAAAAGCCGTCAACGCTTTTGTGGAGGAATCATAATCATAGGAGTTAGTTACGTGTTTGTACCGGAATGATTTCCTTCAGTTAAAAAGGAAAAAAAAAATGGAAAAAACCCTATTAAATTTGGGGCCCAGACCTGAATTTGTTCCGGTCATTTCACCTTGATGATAATAATGATAGTGGTGATGATGAATCATCTGATCCCACAAACTGCCCAATAGGGTTTCTCATTAAATGAATTTGAATGGTGGGGATTATGGGCCCCACAGACACCCCTCTCTTTTAGGGTCGTGATTTCATGAAGGAGCCCCATGCATCATGATTTTGATTCCAATCATCATTCGTGGTGGAGCGAGTTGGCTAAGCATTTTTCCAATGCCACATCAACAAACAGTCGCTAGTAACAGCATATATTTTCTTAGCCCACGAATTTCTGATTTTCAATGTGTGGTCCTAGAAAATGGCTTTTTAGCATCTTTCAGAAAAAACAATCAACTAAACAGAATTTCCAACGTAATCTCTACATGGTGTCTTTTTTTTAGGAAAACAGCATCAATTCCAAACACCCCCTTAAGGTCTCAATTCAGCATCAGCTGCTCTGAGCTGAGCCGTCCATCGTTCTTGAGTCATGAGTCATGACCATGAAAACAGGGCTATTTGATAGAGGACGGACGGGTTGACTGTAGCCTGGCCAGGACTTTGCCGAATGGAAGGTTGGGCTTCTCTTTTGGTCGGGCTCTACATAAATATCAACAAATAATGAATGGGCTATTTATGAGTATCGGAGTAACTGATTATGATCAAAATATCGGGAGATGTTAAGTATTTGATTTAATTTGCAGACAAAGAAGCAGAGCGCGAGACACTCGAGAGAAGTTGTGGCGTATACCGTGACTGAGTGGTGTGCAGTAAAGACGAGAGAGAGAGAGAGAGAGGATATACAACACAACACAGAAGACAGAACCCTCCAGAGTCCAGATCACACTCCCACCTCTCCACTCCTGAGCTGCAAGGCAAGCCCAAGATGTTTATTTAATATTTGTTCATTACCTCCACGCCTCGAAATCATAAACCCAGATTTCAAATGCGAAGTCTCCTCATTCCTTCCTCTCTTTTCCTCACTCTCTCCGCTCCGCTGGCTCACCTATTTCTAGCGTCTCTCTTTTCCACTTCTTACCTTCCAAAATCCTCCATGACCTACCTTTTGTGTTGAAGTTGAACTTTAATCTCTCCAACTTTTTCATGGAACTCAAGTTCGAAGTCATTTGAGGCTTCGTCAAATTGGTTCTCTAAACCTTTTTCCCTTTCCCCACTAGTTTTGTTGCAGAGCTTAATCATGGCTCACAAGCATTTGCGCGAGCTATTGAGAGAAGATCAAGAGCCTTTCGTTCTGCAGAACTACATTGACGAGAGACGTTGCCAGCTGAAGAAATGGACCCCCAAAACCCACTTGCAGGTTAAGAGACGGAGACCCATGTCGGAAAACTCGAGTATTCCTGCAAGTTTCTGTAAAAGCGCTTGCTTTTTTTCCTTCCACGACTCTCCAGACGTACTAAGGTCCCCTCTGTTCGATTTCGCTTCTCCGGCCAGGAGCCCGTGTAGAAACCCAAATACCGTCTTCATTCACATCTCTTCAAGGACAGCTGCTGTGCTTCTTGAAGCTGCTCTTCGGATTCAGAAGCAGTCCTCTTCTTCAAAATCCAAGAGTCCGAATAAAAGCTTGGGCTTTGGCTTCCTCGGATCGATTTTGAAGAGAATATCCCTTAGAAAACGGAACCGAAAGAGAGAGATCAAGGGTGAGGAGGTTAGAGTTTCTGTTAAGGATATTTTGAGGTGGGATTCGTGTGATGGACGTAAACTGTGCATGGAGGATAATAGGTTGGAAACCCCGGCACCAATGGAGGTTTCAGAAGAAAAGGAGGTCATCACGGAGATGGGTTTCTCCTGCTCCTGTAACAGCAGACTCAGCAGTGCTTGGTCTGAGAGCAACGAAGAGAAGTCTGAAGATTTGGAGACCTCCACTAGTAGCCGGTCCGAGGATTCCGAAGAGATGGAGTTCATCGTCGACGAGAGAAAGAATGGAGAATGCAATTCGTGTGACAAGCCATTCTGCTCTAACTCCTTCCGCTTCGTGCTTCCCAAGAGCCCATCTTCCGGTCGCCGGACGCCGGAATTTGAGTCTCCGGCTACTTCTCCTAGTCGCCACAGAAAAGAGGTTTGTCTTTTTCATTTTTTATCCCCCAAGAAAGAAACTTTTGTCAGCTTTATTTCACTTTATTTGACCGCTGATGACATGTCCGGAACTCGTCACTCGGACATGACTCGCTTACCGAGTGTCCTCATTCAAATTAAAGTCGAAACTTAAAATCACGTTCAAAATATCGAAAGTGAAAGAAAGCATTTTCATGGCTTAAACCTTGAATCAGATTAGAAAATACCAATTCCATTACTAGTTTGTTGACTCAGTGCGGACGATCCGTGTGGTTCCCGTACTCGTGAGTCATGACTCAGATCGGGTCATAGACCTGGTTCGGCCTTCCCGAGTTGTCGGCAAATCATCCAATTTGTCTTTATCGTTGTTGAAAAAATATGCTTATGAGGAACTAAGGTAAGCAAAAACTGAAGCCCGAAGGGTATTAACGTCATCTCGCTATTAATCCAATTCTCATTACTATACTCTGATCTCGGCTCTGCCATGAAATCTTTTTAAAAAATTCTTGTCTCCAAAATAATTCTGGAGAAAACGACAAATAGGGTCTTTGTTTTTTCGGTTGGATTTTATAAACAAAAATTATTGAATTTGGTCGGGTTAAAAAAAATAATAATAAATAGAAAGAAAGCAGAGGATCCAAAGTCAATAGTCAATGAATTATGACTCGGAATTTTTTGTTGCCATTCATCAAATTAACAAGGAAAAATTAGGAATTTCACCATTTCCCCACTTCACAATAATCCCATCTTAATTGAGATTAATTTGCATGTAATCAGGTGTTAGGAAACGACGAGAGAAGCTGCTTAAAAAATGGTGAAGGAAAGGACTATGAAGAGGAGAAGGAACAGTGCAGCCCCGTGTCTGTGTTGGACCCTCCTTTCCACGATGACGACGACGACGACGATGACGGAAACGAGGATGAAGAGGCTCAGGAGGGTTTTGAACTAGAACGCAGCTTTGCCTTTGTACAGAGTAAGTACTAATGCATGAAACATTGAACAGTACTGTGGTTGTCTTATTTGTTTCCTGTTCGGTTGTATAGTCGTTTTCAGAAAATAATGGTTTATTTGGTCAGTTGATTGGGTTTCATTCTTGAACCAACCAAGTTCCTGTAGGTAATTGGTCCATTACTGTTTTTCTTTTCACAGCAGTTAAAAAGGAGGGCACACGTGCTATGTGGGCTGTGCCGGAAATGGTATCTTAGCCACGTGGCACATTCCTGATCTGTAGGGTTGGCAAATTTGCTATTCAAGTTTTATAGAATTCACTGTTTTTGTGCTTGGTTTTGTACTTGAGCCATCATCGTCATTTATGATGTATAGGAGGGTTGTCGCCATTAATGATGGTTGAGGGGGTCCATTCCTCTCATTTTCTGAACACTGTCAAGATTAATTGGAGTAGGAGGGTTGTCGCCATTAATGATGTATAGTTTGTGTGACTGTAGATTGCCCCTATTGATTCAAATTTCGATGTATAGTATGTGAATGTGTATGTATTGTCAGACTCACAGCTGGGTGAGGTGGTTCTGATATTTGAATTGCTTTTTGCATTCCCAGGAGCAAAGCAACAGCTATTGCACAAGCTTCGTAGATTTGAGAGACTAGCTGAGTTAGATCCCCTTGAGCTTGAGAAAAGTCTGAGGGAAGAAGCAGATGAAGATGATGAAAAGTTGGTAGACGAAGAATGTGATTATGATGAAGATGGGTCAGTGTTATCAGATAATGAAAAGAAGGATAATGGGTTTGTGAAAGAAATTCTAAGCTGGTTGGAGGGTTCCCACGTAAGGAGAATTCCAGAGGACATGAAGAGACTAGTTGCAGACCTAATTACAGAGGAAGACGAAGAAGCTACAGCCTGCCATGACAGAGAATTCGTTGCAAAGAGAGTCTGCAAACGCTTGGAATCATGGAAGGAAGTGAACTTCAACACCATCGACATGATGGTGGAGATGGACTTGAAAAGAGATGGAGATGAGTGGAGGAGACAGCAAGAGCAGGTGCGAGATACAGCAATGGATATTGAGCTTGCTATCTTTGGGTTCTTGGTGCAGGAACTCTCAGACGAACTTGTTTATTCATAGGCATGTCTGAACTCTGAAGTTCTGTCTCTGTTCATCCAAACTAATTTTGCTTATTTTTTCATTTTATTGGAGGATAGATATAGGAATAGGATAGTCTAACGAGCGCTGCAAAGGTGTAGGTTAAACCAGACTTGAAAGGCAATGCAGGAAGGTTTTGGGTTTATGATGATGTCCTTCTGGGTATCCTGGTTCATGGATAAAAGGGACGACGACGACGACGATGATGATGTATATGTTTCAACTCCCATGTATTTATCGAGAAAAAAATTATGTAGGCTAGCCTTATGAGAAATTTTCTACAAGAAAACCAGAGCTTCATGCCTATTGATTCAAAACCTACAATCTGAATATCTATCATACTTATGATGATTATACTTTATAGCTAGGTTTCAAATTTCTCCAGAAAGGGTCATTCAATAATGGGTCCTGACTCCTGAGTACTCGTAGGGCTGCCACTGAGTCCCAATTCAACATACCAACTAAGATTCAAGTTGAATTGAAGTTGGCTGTATATAATTAATTACTAGCGAAAAACCGGTGCAAAGGAAATGGTAGTATATGGGATAAAATACTTTTTGCAAAGACATTATATAATAAGGATATCATCACTTTGAAGATATGTTTTGCATATTTATAATGTTGAATTCAAGGCATTAATGTACTCGATTCCTTTTATTGTCATTTATTCATGAAAAAAAAATTAATAACAAAGTGTACAAAACTCCCTTTGTAATTTGTATTCTAGTCAGGTATAATAATTGTATTAACTATATAATCGAAAGTTGTGGCAAATGCCGTCAAATTCCAATTTCATTAACGGTTTCCATTAGCCATAAGATTAAATAAGGCGGTAAATGAGAACAACATAACATTGATTATCAGATTGGACATTTCAATGCACCTCCAAAATCAATTTGGATGAATTAGACGGACCAATAAGACATTTTGGATCGGATCAATTTGGATGAAAGAAGAAAAAGAAAATAAAGAAAAAAAAATAGATATATACCTATTGAACTGAGAATGAAGGGCTCCTCCTTTGTTAATAGTGGCCTACTGGTGGTGGTGGTGGTTGTGATGGAAAGAGGAAGAGCAAGCTAGCTGAGGGTAAGAAAAAGGTAGAATTTAAAGTCAATTAATTAAGAGGGATATTGCTGAATCTGTGCATTGATTAATTATGAGACAAAATAATCTGAGCATTAAGAGGGATATATCCGTTATATTCGAAAATATAATGGAAGATTTGAAGAAATCAGTGGAATGGGTTTCACCAAGAGAATAGTTTGTGGAGAAACCGATCTTATTTTCGGTTCCCCACTAGTCCACTAGAACAAAGACGGTTAAAGATGATATTAACCTCTATGTTAGTTAATTAACCATATTTAAATAAGGGTGTTTATGTTCTTAAATAAGAGTCCTTCAACTCATATGTGTGAAGAGTGAGAAACCAATGAGTAACTTGTGAGGCTTTGCCCCAACCTGGGGCTGGTGTGATCATAAGGAGTCATTTGGGGGATCTTCTTGCTGCTCGGTCTATTAATCTCGCTACCTGCACTCCTTTGGAAAGTGAAGCCTGGGCTCTTTTGGAAGCTTTGAAATTTTCAAAGCAACTGATTTGAATATGGATCATATTATTTTTGAGGGAGATGCGCAAATAGTCATTAATTCTCTGTTGGGGACATCACCTCACCCCCCCCTGCGAATCAACATGATCTTAGCCGACTGCAGAGAAATCCTTACTAAATTCTCCCAATACTCAGTGAAGTTTACTAACAAGTGCTGCAACAAGGTTGCCCATAAACTAGCAACACATGCAACTTCAATTTCTCGTCCTTGTACCTCGTCGGAGTGTCCTTTTTCTACGACAATTGATTGATTCTGACTTGTACTCGCTGAGTATTTTGAATGAAATTTTGCCTTTTGGCGTAAAAAATACTTATGAGGCTTGTGGTGACAAATGTTTCAATTCTGACACATTCCTCTTTATATTATAGATCATGGTTTTAAAAAACGATCTGAAATGGAATCGTTTTAGTCATTGGTTTTCGGATTGATGATTCGACCATCTGGTTTAATGAACGATCTGTTCTGATAAAAAAATAAAAATAAAAAACAGTTGAATGGGTCGACAGGGCGATGGTTCGACCACCTGGGTCAATGGGTCATTGGTTGATTCAACAATTTTTTGTTAGGGATTGGGCTGAGGGTAAAACGGAACCAGTCCAGGTTAATGGCGGTTCAAAAACCATATTATAGATAGATATAGATGCGTGTATAAAACTTGAAACTAATTAACCCATATCATGAAAGTTATCAACCAAGTGATATTTATCAAAATTCAATGGGGTTTTGATTGGGTAAAGCCTTTGTCCTTCTAGAAGCATAGATTTTTTTCTTATTTTAAAGACAATAATTTTCAGATTGGATTCAGATTTAAAAGTAATCAAATTGGATTGAGATGTGGCTAGATCCCAACTAAAGCCTTATTAAGTTGCCGTTTATTTGCAATAATACAAATGCATGGAAGTACAAATTAGACAATTTTAAATTCTGAAATACTTTTGCTTTAGGTTTTATTTTATTTTTCTTCAGAGTTTATTATTTTACTTCATTTGCATTACCATACCTTTATACTGGTGTAAATGAAATTGTATTAAACACGAAACTTATGTCAGATATGTGAATTCACTATGGTGCATTCATTATTATTGGCTGCACATTAAATTTAAATCTCAATCAACGCTACTTATTTCTTATTGAGTCATTGGTTCCTCTTTCATAAAATGTACTTTCACAAGACATATTTACTATCATCTTCAATTAATCACGTCTTTTGTTACATGAAGCACCGTAGATTTTTTCCAGATATGCATCTATTTCTTTCTTGTTCAATTATACACATGGAAATAGCTGAGGCACATATGGTACAATAATTGAGATCATGAATCCAACACAATTTCTATGGCTCAAAACTAGAAATTGCAGTAGACTAGCTCTATTGTGTTCAGTCCAGTACCTCACTATACAGGCAATTTACATTAGGCAGTACAGAATGGATTAGTGGTCCATCACATGAAGCCAATTTCACTGCTCTATTTGGTGTCAGACGGGACTTATGCCATTACAAGATGGGGTATGGGTGTCAACTATCAAGTACATTCCAATCTGTCCACAACAAACTCTTCATCTCATTTAAATCAAAACTCAGTAACAGAGTAATATACATCTATAATTTGGAAAAGATTGTAGGCCCCATTTGGTTCGCAGGAATAGGGGTCTGGAATTGAAATCCAAATGGATTATTTTGGTTCCAACCGGTTGGTTGGGCAGAATTGGAATTCTATTCCCATTCATAGTGGAATGATATTTCCTATCCCTCTTTTAGGAATAAAATCTCATTCCTTCTGATTCTAATTTTCATTTTCTTTCCTATCTGAACCAAAAGAAAGACCATTCTATTATTGATTCTGAAAGATTCCAGTTCTAATTCCAATTCTGATTCTGATTCCGACTACGAATCAAATGGACCAGTAGAATTAACACCTATAATCTTCTTGTAGCCTTTGCTCCCAAGTCTTTGGTATGTTTGAGTCCGGTAATGTTACACCTATTACGTTAAAAAGGGGGAGGGGGACTGGAGATCTCTCTCTCTTTTGCACGTGCAACCACATGACACTCGGCTAGTGGATAAAAATGACATTTGAGGTTTCGTTTGGTTCACAGTTGGAATCGGAATCGAAATTGGAATAATCTATTCCTATAGTTTGTTTGATTCAGACAAAAATAAGAATGGGAGTTAGAATAAGCAGGAAGAAAATTTCATTGCCAAGGTAAAGACAGAAAATAGCTATTCCCTCAAATAGGAGAATACCATCCCAACAGGAATGGAAATGGGATTCAGATTCTACCCAACAAAACAGTTAGAATTGAAATAGCCCATCCCATTTTCAATTCCAAACCCCTATTCCTGTTAATCGAACGGGATCTGAATTCTGGGTGCAACTTGGATGGGCTCGGGTTAGTCTTCTGCCAAGTTTTGAACGAGTAAAATGCTAATTGGGCGAACCCGAGTTGCACACGTAATTTGAGATATAAATAGTAAGATCCATTATATTGTTGCTGAAAAAGTGCTATACTATACCAAGAATTGATGCTTCGATGAAGTTTGAAAGGATACACACTGAAATCGTTGACAGACGAAACATACACATGATGGGCTCAGATGGGTTTGAATTCGCTAAGGCCTCCTCCCAAGTCCCAAGCTCAGCCGGATCCGATTTGCAGCATCGATTAATACAAAAACACGAATACCAACGAAACAGAATGCATTGAAGATTAAATAACTAGTGTTTTAGCAAGAAAAAGATAAGCATGCAAGTCTGTTATGGCCCAATTGAAAGTAGGCTTGACTTTGACCATCATTTCAATCAGCCCAGTCCGGCCCGTCAGATCAAGACCAGCCCAGACCCATAAAACTACAAACAGGTTAGAGCCGAGCAAAGTGATTTCCACTTTTCAGGTTGATCTTACTCTCAATCAAAATTTTAACTATAATTAGAGAAACAGAAAGTTGTAGTTGGGTTAATCTTGGGCTTATATCCGCAAGGCTGTGTTTGGTTTGACAGAAAAGAAGAGAGAAACATAAAGTTGAAGAAAAGTACTTAAGGATTTTTTGTGAAATTCTTTAAGAATTTCAACTCAACTTTCTATTACTCTCTTATTTTCTATCAAACCAAACACGGCATAAGTTTATTAAAACAAACTATATAGAAAAGAGGTAATCAGAGTGGTGGGGACAGAGATCTTATAATGCATTATCCTATAAATTCTCATAAACCAAAAAACCATAATGAGCTATCAAGGAAGATATTATTAGTTACCAAAAGCAGATGAGCTCATGCTCTTATGACAAAGCTAGCCTGGCAAACTGGTCCTTGCTGGCTTCACAACACATGTGGCTAACTTCAGCTTCCGTGGACCCCAGTCATTATATACCTTCATCTTCTGTCCAATATATCATATATACTACAACAAAAATTAATGTCAAGTGTCAGCTAACTGTCACAATAAACTCTGAGTGACTTTTTCTAAACAATCCTGAAAAAAAAAAAACGAATTGAGAACCATTTTCTGGTTTCAAATTGAGTGAATTGAGCAAAGATCTATGAAGTTCTTAGTATTAAACTTCCTTATGTAAGTTTCATACCGAATGAGGGGATGTTTGGTACCATTGCTGTTTTCTTTAAAAAAAATGGGTTATATAGACACCAATTTAGAAAGCCGTTTTTCCAAAATTTGGTAAAAAAATGCATTGCCTTGGAACTTGAGAGAACTGATTTTCTATGAAACATCCGTTATGACGTTTCCTGCTATATGTCATGGCATGGCATTGATGTGGCGGCAACATTATGCCATTTTTTAAGAAAATGGCAATAGAAAAACGTCTTACCCAAAAGGCTTAATATGTAATTTACAATATGAAAGGATTTCAAACAACAACATGAGATAAATCATCATCATCATTATTATCCAAGGCTTGATTACATGAATCATGTTTCACTATTCCGAGTCATATCCCCATTCATCCTTTTACAGAGAGAAATTCTTTCATTGACATTCTCATTTGCTTCTGTGCTTAGGCATTTTATTGAGTCAAATGTTATATAAATATTGTTGGTACTTTAGTGAAGACGATAGCTAATGACTTTCAAATGGCTATAACAATTCCTACTTGGAGCTGGGAAAGGAGTCTAATTTATATAGTTGTCTAACATAAATGAGCCTATAGATTCTGACCAGTGGAAGGTTGACTTCAATGATCTAAGTCTTTTTCTTTTTTAGTACGACGTCACAATGATCTAAGCCTTTGAGTCTGTTCATTATAAGGTCGTTTGGTAACATTATAAATAACCAGGGTTATATAATCACTAACCTACATCGATATCGTTCATGCCTACAAGGGATCTTCCCCTTTGTTTTTCTCATTGTGGGAGTTGAACTGGAATTGAATTAATAAATATCCCCTCCCCCCCAAAGAATGTCTAATCCTGCAGAAGCATGGAGTCAGGAGGCTTGCAATGTAATAATGGCCACACAACTGCAAACTTGGTGTCACCAACCCTCATCTCCACTTTAATTACATTGTCTTCCAGGTAGAGTATTAAGTTTTATCTCTAGTCTCTACTGCCACAGTTTCCTTTATTGCCTGGCCCCATCCTAATCCATTTGATAATGCTTGCAAGTGGCCCAATTGAATGACTCTTCTGTCTTTTAATGGATATAAATGGTCTTATAATAAAGGGTGGTTCTGTGCCCTTCTGCCCTTCTGTTGATTGATTATATCCCCCCCAAATACACACAGACAGAAAAAAGGGAGAATGATGGTTCAGCCCAGGGTCAGAATTTTTAGGTTTAAAATATAATTGAAGTAGGTACTAATTCAGAATTAATGCCAATTTACGAGCGGACATTGTGCGTTGATATATAATATTTCATATTTTAAATGTTTATAGGTCTGCATTGAAATTCAGAAATCTGTAATAGGTTTATCTATACTTTTTCAAATAAAGTTAAAAAAAAATTAAGATTGCAACCCATTTTAAGATTGTAGGTCATTGTACAAAAACCTTTAGATTTGTATCTTTCCTCAATTTAAAGAACTATACAGATAAGCTGATAGGGATTAAAAACGTCAGATGAATCCAAGGATTAAAATAAAGGGGTTTTTAGACTGCACTCCACCTCATGAAAGAGCTTTTTTAATTATTATTATCATTTATTTTGTTAGATACCCATGAAAGATAGAGCTTGCAACCTAACTAAGAACTTACTAAAAGACAAAAAAAAAAAAAGTCATTCAATTCAGTCATATCAAATGGCTCCTCATAGCTAATCACTTGATACTAAGGCTTTTGGGGCCCATCCTCAGAGATCCAGCTACAACTAAATAAGGATGAAAGAAAGATGACCCAGCCCAAGCCCAACTACCTTGAGTATCTTCGCTTCACTTTGACAAATGACAACTTCCAATCTCGTGTCCACTCCCTTTATGCTGACGCATACATATACATACATCCATACATCATCATCATCGTAGGCAAAGAAGAGACGCTCGCTCGTGAGTCGTGATCGTGAAGCATTCCAACTTCCAAGTACAAAGACAGCTTGCGGAATGTTTAAAAGCCGTGCAGTATGAGTCACGCCTTCAACGGACCTGTCAATGTGTGGGCGTTCAGATCGTCTAATGATATCCATCCATTTCCATTTCCAGCCCACTTCTTGGTTGTATTACGATTTACGACGTGACCGGACAACATTATCCCATGCAACCGCACCATTGACTCCTTCTCACACCTTGCTGGTTGGGCCGTGGACGGTGACCCTGTTCCACCGAGGCCCACTTCACCCCTTCCCTTTACAATTGCATTTACATACATTGTTATTTGTTAATTCTTTCTTGCTTAAACCTTAATGCTATATATAATTCTACTCCACTCGCCATATGGGCCGGGCCCGCTGTTGTAGCTGTTGGGTTTTTTAAAGAATTATTCAAAGACCCGGTCCACTCATCAGGGCTCACCAGTCCAACTCTTGGTTCAACCTAGTGGATATAGTGGCGAGTGATATCGTAACTAGAATTGTTTAAAACACGAGAATAACTATGAAATTATAAATAAGAGGTCAAGAAACCTTTTTTTTTTATTTATTTGTGATATTAATTTCAGCACCTTACTCTATGTGAATCAAATAAATGACAACGAAAAAAATTATCATCATGAAACATAAAAGAGGTGATATTATAGCCTCAGGCCCTTGGCATGATTGATTGGTTTCTTTATTTTTTTCCTTTTTATTTCATGCTGAAACAAATGAAAAAAAATAGAACCCTCCCAAAGTATTAGCAAAATTAGAAGCTATTTGTAGGTGCAACTTGGACCCAATCCAAAACCCAAACTCAAAACGGTGTAAAATGTTAATTCAGGCACCTTATCAAGATAAAAAACACCTTAATGCCAATAATGAGACTCAAACATTTTGCTTGAGGTACAATTAAATTTTTGTGCTATGGGTTATGGGCTTGCCTTATGTTTGCTAATGACCCGCTTCTCAATCAAAAAGGAATGAGGCCCAAAGCAAAAATTTTGTCTTAATTAATTAAAGTTTTCCATACTCTTTGATTTGAAAAATTTTGCATATTGAGACTTTCGATCGCTCGAAACTATATAAATTTCTGTATAATGAAGTGACAACGGAATTTGTCACATCATATATTATAACTTTAAAACAACAAAATCATAAAAGCCTTATATTTAAGATATTAATGATAAAAAAAATTAATATCGTATGATACTTTCAATCTTGTTTCATACCTAGAAAGAATACTATAGGCGGATTTGCACTATTATAACTAACCAAGGTTCGAAATTTCAATACATATCGGACAATATCAATTGACACATATCGTATTGGGAGCCTTCCCAAATGATACATTCCTATAAGGGGTGTTTCAGGGTTTAATCTGGTTCAAGGGTAAAAGGGCCTTAGACCAATCCCTCTGAATCAGGTTCTGAAAGAAAAAAAAAAAAAAGGAATAGTGAGGGCCGATATAGCCTGATACTCCCCCTCATACTGTATCAACATTTTAAACCTTGTATCTGATTGTAGAAGTCCTTTGACCAACCTTCCATCTTGCTCAGTAAGGTATGTTACGAGAGGCCAATTATGCTGCTCACAATATATTCAAAATTACTATATCCCTTGCAAAAACTCTGACTTGGTCCACAGTAATGAGGCAGTGGCAGGTCTATTGGTTCAACCACTTGGCATGGACCGTTTATCTTAAACCAATTTGGAGCAGGCCAGTGGGTCGGCGGGTCATGGACTCACGGCTTATCGAACCTAATTGATAATTAATCATTTGGTTTAATTATGATAGCGAATGAATCATTACCGTCCATATATGATTGAACGGTAGTGAGGCGTGCAATCCTCATTACCCTTTTAAAAGTAGTAGACAGTGAAATCATCACCGCCGTCCAACTGTAAATGGACGGTAGTGATTGACAAACATTATTAATTATGTACAACCAACTTATTATTTCAAGGTATCATTAAGCCTCTTCAATAACGTCTTGTCGTGAAATAGGCCGCTTTTAGTCATTTTCGTGGTCGTTTTTGGTAATTATGCAGCTTAAAATTCGATTAAAGCAAGTTAGTAATTAATACACACAAGGCCCTAAAATTTTGGGGATATTTGTTCCGGAGGTCGACAGAACGGAAGTTCCAGCGCGTATTCTTAACGCCACCAACCAAACGCGCCCAACAGTACAACTATCTTCTTCGTCGTCGTTGTCTCCGTCTTAATTTCTGTCAAAATAAAATGGAAAGTGGCTTTTTCAACTGCTTCCGTTGGCATCTTTGATGGGTTTCGTCCTGAATCTCGTTCTCGTTTGTCTTTAATTCGTCAGACTTGCTAGTGTTCTCGTAAATCTGGTTGTTAACTTCAGCTCAACTTGATGCTGGGGATGCTGATGGGACAAGAATTTGAATTGCCTTGATGCTCGTTGAAGTAGCGGAAGCTAAGTTACGAAGCTAGGGTTTCTTCGGGTTGGGTTCTTATAATGCAGAATTCTGGGGACGAGGATCAGAACAAGCAAGATCAGAGGTAGAAGGCTGGAAATCCTTTACTCATCTTGTTCTAATTTGTATCTAAAACGTGTTTATGTAGAAATTTGGGCGCTTTGATGCTTGTAGTTACAGTTTTAGAGTTCATTTCTGTATTTCTTTTTTCCTCCAGTAAATCTTCTTTCAAATTGCTTTCCGTTGACTTGTTACTGTGCGTTGATGCACGGAATTTTTCCCCTTTTTGTTAAGATATGAATTCGTGTTTGTTCTTCGCTTCTGTTTAACTGATTATGGAGAATTCGTTCGCTGACTTTTTGGAATTTGTAAGTTAAAGCAATGTTCGAATGTACTCTATTTAGGGATTCTGGCTTTGGAGGAACTCTAGGGACTTCAAAGAAGTATTTGTCGTTCCTACATTTTCTTTTGTTTACTTATATTTTGGGAAATGGAAGATGTTTGGACCTTGGACTAATGAAGTTTATGAATTGATGAAAGCGTGTGAATTAAGTTTTTGTTTTGGAGTATCATGATAAATCTCTTAACTTCCAATAAACTACTGATTTTCGGTATAATGAAGAGGTTTTAGGATTTAAAGAATTATGCGTTTTCTTTTTCTTTTGAAAAATGCAAGAGCTTTAGGTGTTTGGCACATTGTGTGAGTTGATGAAATGAAATAATCAGAGATTAGAGGTTTCTCGAGTACTATAACTTGTAGATTCCGCGAATTCTGCTATGCTACTTATTGTTTGTAATCACTGTTTTCCCCCGGTTTGAAGGTCTTAGGTACTTGCTTACTAATTGGATTTGTTGAAAATTAGGGTTCTTACTCATTTGCTTTTGTAATTTGGTAGGGGCATGTTAAAGGCATCTTTCCTAAAGTATAAAGAATTGAGACTTTGTGATTTGAAAGAAAACTGAGTATCTGTGCTCTTATTTCCCAGGAAAAATACGGGTATGGAGGACTCAACTGCTATGACTATTGACTTCCTTCGTGCTCGGTTACTATCTGAAAGATCTGTCTCGAGAACTGCAAGACAAAGAGCTGAAGAGCTAGCTAAGAGGGTTAGTTTCATTGAAATTTTTATCCTTGGTTGTGAAGATTTTGTTCTTTGATCTACTGTTGAAAAATTTGGTTTGCTTGCCTTCTCTCTGGTACTGTGGTTATTAGCATATTATGCTTTCTTCTTTTTGTCTTTGTTTTTTTCTTCACAAATTGAAATTTCTTGTTTCTTTACGTTTATCTGAAACTTCATTAAGCATTTTACAATGATTGGGTTGCCTTATGTTCAATTGTCTCAAATATATTCCATTCTATTTGTTGCTTGAAACTCAATATAGGTAGTTGAACTGGAGGAACAACTAAAGCTTGTGACTCTCCAAAGAAAGAAAGCTGAGAAGGCAACGGCAGAGGTTCTATCTATTTTGGAGAACCATGGAATCAGTGACTTTTCGGAGGCATTTGATTCAAGCTCTGACCAGGAAGAAGCCTCTAAGTCAAAAGAGGATGATGATTCCACAAAGAAAGAGGAAAGTTCTGTGACATCAGAACTGAGAGACAAACCAGAGGAATTGCCTTCTCTGGAGCTTGAAGGTTCTTTACCTGGTAGAAGTTTGTGTTGGAAAAGCTCCAATGATAGTCCAAAATCCACTGAAAAGAAATACATGGATCAGGCTAGAAGGCAGCGGAGCAGTTTGATGTATACTAGTTGGTCTTCTCCAAGGCAATGTCCAGGCAAGTCATGCCGCCAGATAAAACGAAGAGAAACCAGGTTAACTTCTCTCTCTCTCTCTCTCTCTCTCTTCACGCACACACACACATACATGTGTATACATCACACGCACAGCAATGTGAGGCCTTCTGTTGTCATAAAGTGAGAACAGCCACTTTGTGTGCACAAATGCCAGAGGTTAGGTCTGTATCCTGCCTAGCCCTTACAAAACCCCAGATAGCAGATAGTCGGGACCATCATGGGGTAATGGGCTTTTCTTTTCCCAAGAACTGCCTAGCCCTTCTATCTGCACTCATGCAGATAGTCTGTATATTAATTACACTAAGAATGTCTGCAAGGGAATTGTGGGCACTATTACAAGGTCTCTGGTTAGCAAAGCAGTTGGGCTTCAGACAGGTTGAGGTGGAAGCAAGGTTCAAAGTATCGACACAAGCTGATACGCCGGTATCGGTCTGTATCGGTACTTTTTTTAGGTTTTATTTATTTTTGTTCGAAACTGGTTCAGAGGGGTCGGTTTAAGGCCCAGCATCCTCTGAACCAGTGTCTGACCCGATACAACCCCTGGAGGGGCGTATCGGGAAGCCATCGGCACGATATGTATCGGCTGATACAGGCTGATACGTAATCAATACTTTGAACCTTGGGTGGAAGGGGATTCAAAAGTATATAATGTCAAAAAATAAAGAATAGAAATTAGTATATAAACAGACAAAATGAATATTTTAGTTTAATAGTGCCTATTTTATAATTATAGTGTAAAAAAATAAAGAATAAAAAAGTATTTTATGATACATAGTACAAAACTGCTTGGCGATTAGGCGAGGCGAGCCTCAAAGGGCACCTTGTCGCCTAGGCGTTGCCTTGACAACTATGTTATAATCAATTATACATATAACTTGAGAATGTATTGACTGGGGCCATGAACAAGATGCTAAGGTGTTTCTTAATCAGAAACGTATATTTGCTTTCTTTGTTAGCTATAACCCTGTTTGTGAGCGTATGAGCGTATAAGAATTCAATTTTTGGGCAGCAAGGGCTACTATTCAGGAGGTACTCTCTTGTCTAGTTAGAGGAGAATAGGAGGTTTGCAATGAATCTTCCTGAGGGAGAGCAGGTGCCTCTTATGACAAAAAATGGCAGCATCGGTGATGCAACAGTGTGCACTTGGTTGAATCAGTTTGAGCCTCTTTGGAAGCCCAAAAAGATGCTAACAAATCTAAAGAGAAAGAAAAATTGGCTTGAAAAAGACTTTTGACCTCATTTTCGTCTTGAAAGAAATTCATGGGAGAAGAATTGGCAAAAGCTAAAAGCGGGGTCTATTTAAGATACAGTTTTTATTGAATTTGTGAAAATCTTGGGAATAAATTTTCTAGAAATTTACTATTATTTTGAAATACTATTTGTGGTAACTCTTGGACTTACTATTTATAGTAATTGTCATGATTAGTATTTTTAGTAAACTTGTAATTGTTCATGACTTGCCTCCTTCCTTGTGGTAAGCTAGATTCTTGTTCTATTTCATGTCTCTTCATTGGTTATCAATTAGCTCAAAAAGGGCATGAATGTTATAACCATACTTCTCAACGAGTTTACATATTCATGAATGTGTCCTTCTTGGAGTCTCAACCATTTTATCTTGCCTCCCTTCAAGGGGAGAAGTACAATAAGCTTGAGGAGAGGCAACTTCAGCTCCCTTTAGCCATTCATGTGTCTTCTTCTTTGGAGCCTCCTCAGTTTTTTGTCTACACTCGTTGCTAGAAAGATCAGCATAAATCTTGAAGTGCTGACCAGCCAGAAGGAATTATGCAACCTGATCGAACAAGATCTTATGAGACAAACCCAATTCCCACTCAGCCAGGTATTTTTTCATCAATAAAAAAAATAATTTTTTATTAGTAAATAACAAAATAACTTTTATTAAGTTAAAATAGAATTATACAAATTGATTTTACAAAAATGGCTCCTACTGAGCTAGCTCCTTAATGACATCAGGTAATCAAAGAAGCCCTAAAAAATTGCTCCCTAGAAACTCCTTGCTTGGTGAGTGCATCTGCCAAACCATTAGCTGATTTATTATTAACCCATCTAAATGAAGCCTTGATCTCTCTTGCTAGCTATCTAATCTCTCTCGGAACTTGTCTATAAATCCATATCCTTTGGCTGCCACCATTCATTATCAACAATGAATCGCCTTCAACCTCCACATACCTGAGCTATAGTTGTTTGGCTAGTCTTAACCCTTGTAGTCTTCTTTAGAGCCTCCTCAGCTTCTTTTCTACATTTGTTGCTAGAAAGATCAGCATACATCTCCAAGTGTGGACTAACCAGAAGAAGTTATGCAGCCTGATTCAACAAGATCTTATGAGACAAACCTGAAGAGTAGTACATGACCCACTTAACCAAGTATTTTTTTATCAATAACAAAATAAGTTTTTCATCAGTAAATAACAGAATAACTTTTATTAAGTTAAAATAAAATTATACAAATTGATTTTACAAAAATGGCTCCCACTGAGCTAGCCCCTTAATGACATCAGGTAACCAAAGAAGCCCAAAAAATATTGCTCCCTAGAAACTCTTTGGTTGGTGAGTGCATTTTCCAAACCATTGGCTGATCTATTAACCCATCTAAATGAAGCCTCAACCTCTCTTCGTAGCTATCTAATCTCTCTCAGAACTTGTCTATAAATCCATATCCCTGGCTACCTCTATTCATTACCAACATTGAATTGCATTCAATCTCCAYGTACCTGAGCTATAGCTGTTTGGCTAGTTTTAACCCTTGTAGTAGTGCTAAGTTTTCTGCTTTAAGTAAACTTCTCTAGCCTATAGGACCAGGAGGGAAAAAAAGAGCATAATTTGTTCCATGGCCATTCCTATCNCCACACACACACACAAAGGTCCCAAATTCCCATGTGAACTTCCACCAAAGTTTAATTTTATCTTGTTATTTGCTTGAAGGAGTCCACTTGTCTTGTAAACTTTCAATGTGGAGGAGGCTGCTACTGCTCCATAGCCTCTTAGCATGCCATCCACTGTAAAACAATTAAAGATCTCTAGAGTCTTAACCCAATGGACTACCTTTAAAGTTATACTTTCAATAATGGCATCCAACATTTTCCATTGATCCTAAAACAGTTCGAATAGAAGAAGCCAACAGCAGATACCAGCTTCAAAGGTTGTTGCAATGATAAAAGGAGGTGTATTTGGCATTGGGCCTAACAAGATAGTAAGAAAACACCAAAATGTAGTCAGAAGACAAGAAGAAGATTGCATTAAAAAGATCGGATAAGAAGACTTATTGATGCAGAGTCCATTGGGGTTTTGGGTTTTGCTTTGGAGCTCTTGTGGGTGGCGGTTTTGTGTGCTTCGGGTATTGTATGGATTCGGTTTTGTTTGTTTTAATGGTCTGGTTTTTATTTGGTGGTTGTTTCTTGTTTCATTTTTGTTCTTTTTTGCTTTGTAAGGGGTTTGGATTTTGAGGGATTGGCTTTGTTGGGATGGTTTGGCCTGGCTGGATTTGTCAGCTTTAGTTGGGTTTCCTTTGGGTTGTTTTTTTCCCCTCAGATGATTGCTTATCACCTCTCTTTGTATCTTCTTTTTTGTTTAATAAAATTTTTATTATCTTCAAAAAAAAAAATATTCACACCCTAGGACCTCTACTATATTTCTCACCTCCTTCTCAGTCATGTTCACCCCATCCACACAGCTCTTCCCTAAGTTAATCTTCAAACTAGATATCCTCTTGAAATTTCTAATGAAATGTAAAATTTTCCTAACCTTATCATCATAACCTCCTTCAGAGAACAACATTATATCATCTACAATTGTAAATGAGTCACCGCCACATCTTGTCTCTCCATCCTTTAATTAGGTTGAAACTATTTGTTCTACTTACCAATCTACTTAGCACATCAGCAATTAGCATGAACAAAAGGGAGAGAGGGGGTCCCCCTACGGCCTACCTTAGTCCTCTTTTAACCAGAAAGAAATCATAGACAGCACTAGTTACCACTTCTGAATAATGATAGATCCTCAAACACCATTCTATCCATCTTCTCCATCTATCCCAAATCCAAATTTCCCTACTCCAACAAAGGACCCATTGATGCAAGAACTGAAGAGTCAAATTTGGAATTTTATGATATTTTATGTATTTCTGTATTTTTGGACAGTAGGGGTATTTTTGTCTTTTTGCACTTTTCTGTGGGGTCCAATGACAGGGTTTAAATTGTCTAGTTATAGTTTGTTTATGTTTAAAATTTCAAAGTCATTGCATAAGTAAGACTAGAGTTATTGATTCTTCTTTGAATTGAAATAGGATATGACAGCTTAGTTTGAGTCCTACTAGGATTATTAAGTCTAACAGCTTGACTCCTAGGATTATTATGAGTTTAGAGTCTATAAATATGTATGGATGTTTTACACAAAGGCAATGAATCATATTGAGTTTTCTTCAGCTTATGCTAGCTATGGTGAGTGATTCCCATGCCCTAGAGTGATTCTAGGCACCCTGTGAGTGATTCTAGGTATTTTCTCTCTTCTTTCTCTCCCTATTTTCTCTCTTATTCCTTCAAGAAGCCATTGACAGCCATAAAACTCTGATCAAGAAGATCATTCATCATTCTCTAAGGATTAGAACTGAGCTGATCCTACATCACCCATCCACCAAATCATATGCCTTTTCTAAATCATAGCTTGCAGACTACGCCCTTCCTTCCACTTCTTTCCTCCACATACTTATTTTCCACCAAGAATCGGTCCACTATTTGGCTGCATATTCTTGATCCTTTGGGATAATACCTTGGCTATCATCTCAACAAACTTCCCACCAAACTAATGGGTCTAAAGTCCTTTGTTTGTCATGCTCTCACCTTGTTAGGAATTACATTAACAAAAGTAGCATTGGCTCCCAGATTTGTTCTTCCTCTATCAAAAAACTGATTAAACACCTCTAAAAGGTGCTTCACAAGTCTATAAAAAAAAAGGTCATGCTTCACAATATCCTGATAAAAATCCATGGTAAATCCATTAGTAGAAAGACAGAATTACTGTTTTAAGCAGCAAGTAAACTACTCTCTGTCTTATTTATGTGTTACAAAAACAAATAAAAGGACTTACTTGCCTCTCCCTACAACATAACAAAAGACATAAATAACCATGTTGATAGAGACAAATATACCCTGAATAAACAGAAAATACCGGAAATACTCAGACCAAAAAATATAAACTAATTTTCTAGATAACCCAACCAGATCTTCCTTTCTCTAACTCTTCCGAAAATAATCTTTTCTTCCCCTTAACTTGCTGGTAAAACTAGAAAAGAATCAAACAATGAATTTGGAAGTTGTAATGACAATGAGCAGATAAAAAAGGTTCCAACACCAAATTCCTCCATTAAAACATAAATTAGAAGTAGGTTCAAATCCTGAAAGACCACAAGGCACAAGGAAATAAATTGAAGACTGGGAGTGTAAAAGAAGAAGCAATCCAATTTATATTAGTGTTATTTTGGAAAGATGTATGGCTAGGGGAAGTATCTCTCATGGATAGATTCCTGTCAATTTACTCCATTTCTTTGAATAAGAGAAAAGTAATCTCTGCTATCAGAGGTAATGGGAATTCTTGGGATTTGGGGTTGAGGAGGGCTTAGGGTGACTTAAATGGAGGCAATTGATTAGCTTTATTTCTCTTTTGAACTCAGCCTTTTAGACACCTCTTGTCAGGATAGCAGGGTTTGGTCAGCCTCCCCTTTAGCTTTAGGTTTCTTCTTGTGCTCCTTATTTTTCAATGTACTTTTGTGTCCCCAGGTTTGACAGGGTCCTTTCCAGCTAAGGGAGTTTGATTAGTCCAGTACCTCCAAAAGTGAGGGCTTTTTGTTGTGAAGTGGCTCACAAAAAGATCAGCACTTGCGATGTGCTTCAAAGTTGATGGCCAAATTGGTACCAATCCCCCCATATCTGTGTCCTCTGCTATGGTTGTAGTGAGACTGCTGAACTCCTATTAATCTCGTGTTCTTTTGTCTCTTGTATTTGTGAATGGTTTTTGTCTCTCTTTAGAGATCTATAAGAGCAGCAATTTTATGGAACTGGTTGACAGCATTACCATTAAGGTAGCACATTGGGTTAAAGTAAATGATTTATTTAAGGAGTTCTCAGTTGATGATATAATTAGGGTCTGGAATGCAGTAGTAACTTATTCAAGGTACAAGCCTACGGCACAAGAAAGTTGGGAACCTTCTACACAGCAAAGAACTAAGCTGAATTTTGGTGGAAGTTCACTTGGAAACCTGGGGCCTTTGGGGGTAGGAAGGGCTCTAAGAGATGGAGTAGGAAAATATAAGAGTGGAGGTGTTGGCCCTCTTCCAAGGGTTGAAACTTTGAAATTGGCTAAACAATTGGGTCTCCATCAGATTGAAGCAGAAGGGGAATCAAAATTGGTAAGGGTGGATGCAGGAAGGAAGTTTAGGGGCCTGAACAAGCCGTGACATAAATATGGTGGTTGACAAGGGAAATTGATATAGAATTTAATTGGGTTAGAAGACCAGTCAATGGATTAGCTAAACAAGGGTCAACTGGGACTGAATTTTTTTGGGCAGCACTGTAATAGTGGACTAAGTTGTGGGATTCTGCACACCTTATCGGGGTGTTTGTTACTTTAATTATTATTAATTTGAATGAAAGTTACCATTTCCAATAAAAAAATTATATTAGTTTTCTTGTTTGGTTCCTTCTCTTGTTTAAAGCAAAGRCATCATATACCTGTTGGTTTTTTATTTAGAATTAATATGATCTGACCACTATTCGTTCCCCATGGTGTCACAAGGTACCAGTATTGAAATGTCTGGATAAATCTTGTTTGGGTTAACAAAGGGTCATCCTTATCATCAATTACGCATGCATGTTCTATAGCAACAATGTACACATATAGACACAAATAAATTGTAACTACAATCTTCATATGTAAAACCTTACACACTCTGATTTTGTTGTCAGATCTGCAGAAGATGAGGTATACGATAGACCTATCCAGCTTGAGGATCAAGAAAAGGGAGCTGCTACCAGGTTGGAAAATACTTATAATTATTTTATGGATGGGCTTGTCATCTTGGAAGGTTCTAGAGGTGAGGAAGACGTGGTGACTAACACTGGTTTTTTTGTTAATGGAAGTGGACAAGATACAGACATGGAAAGAGCACTAGAGCACCAAGCTCAGCTCATAGGTCAATATGAAGCAGAAGAAAATGCTCAGAGAGAATGGGAGGAGAAGTACAGAGAAAATAACAGCTGTACTCCGGTATGCCTCATGGATGCATTTTTAAATTGCATGACATTTTGTATGCCTTTGGTTCAAAATATTGTCAGAAAATCCCTGCTATATTGCAAAGCATTTTTTTATCAGCTGCTATATTGCAAAGCATTACACACATATTGCATGTATTGGAAAATGGAAATATATGCCCCCCTTTTATCCTAGAAACAACATGTCTTCTTAAGGAATACAAAGCTTGGTCAGTACTCGGTAATACTTCTGGTATATTGGGTCAGGATATGTCAATCAGATGCAGAGTAGCAGACTACTTTCAATGGCATCATTGTCAATGGAACTGGCTCCATATCTACTAATAGTTTTAAATTTAATTATGGAACTCCAGTACCAACTCTTTATGGGATTTGTGATGCTGATTAGTTTTGACTCTTAGGTGCATTACTGAACCAGTTGTTGGTACTTTGGTTTTTTCCTCTCCTCCTGGGGATTGATAGGTTTTCTAAATATTTTGATGATTAGATATATTTTGGTCCTTATTTCCACATAACAAGTGATGTTTACAGTATTTTCATTCATAAAAAAAAAACAAGTGATGTTTACAGTTTACTTGTTTGCCCGACTCATTAAATTCTGTTTACCCTTATCATGTGACACCCTTTCAGTGTGAAGTCTTGGTTATGCTTAGATATTTCTTTTGTTGGTACTTTATGAACTAGGTTGTGGTGTACTAGAAACTAACAATTATGCTTTATTCTTGTCCATGAAATATGAAGGATTCATGTGAACCTGGGAATCGGTCAGATGTTACTGAAGAAAGAGACTACATCAGGCCTGAAACAACAGAGCCCGGTAAAGCAGTTCTTTCTCATGACCAAGGAATAAAGTCAGAGGCAGAAGGTATCTGCTGCCATGATGATGCAACAGCCAAAACTCCTTCAAGTTCCTTTGTCCCCAGTACATATGGTGATATGGGATGCTCATTGGATCAACATTCCAACAGTAGCAAAAGCACTGCTGGTAATGAACTCCCAGCTGTTTTTTCTTTTCCAGACCAACTTAACCTAGAGCTTAACTCCAAGGTGAAGCAGAAGCAAGAGTGTCCTGAGAATGACCATCTTTACCAACCTTCATCTGAGTACCCTGATCACTGCCAAGTACAGAATTCTTCTTCTCATATGGATGGGAATTTTCTTGAAGGAGAATCATCAAAGAGCCAAAACAACTCCCATGCAGTAATGTTGCATGAAACAGCCAGTGGTTTGGGGAGTGTGTTGGAGGCACTTCAACGTGCAAAGCTATCACTAAAACATGAACTTGATAAATTGCCATTGTCAACCCAAGTGGGAGCTATGGCAAGAGTGCCAGAAATTACTGATCCTGCTACAGGGGCTGATGATACAATAGATATTCCTGTTGGATGTGCTGGTCTATTCAGAGTACCAACTGATTTCCAATTTGAAGCTACTTGTTCTTCTCATACCAAATTATTGGGGTCTTCCTCCAATTCTCAGTTAAGTTTGACCAGTTATTATCCCAGTGTGAGAGTTGGACCTGCTGATAGATATCAATATGCCTACAGCCCTCAGTTGGATACTGAAACTAGAACTTCTATTAAGAAGCCATATGTTGATCCTTATTTGGATGCAGGAATTGGTTCACCTACTATGAGTAGATACACTTATCCTTCATATGCAGACCTTATGCCAAGAATGCCAACCGGCTCTAATGATGGATTTCAGGGATCACGGCCAATGCCAACAATGTCAGCTGGCTCTAGCAATGGATTTCCAAGACTGCAACCTATCCCAAGAGTTAGAATGCCAATGAGCTCTAATGATGGATTTCCTTGGCTGCAACCTGTGCCAAGAATGCCAATTAGTTCTAGTGATGGATTTCCTGGATTGCAACCTATGCCAAGAATGCCATCCAACTCTAGTGATGGATTTCCTGGACTGCAACCTGTGTCAAGAATGCCAGTTAGTTCTAGTGATGGATTTCCTGGACTGCAACCTATGCCAAGAATGCNTCTAGTGATGGATTTCCTGGACTGCAACCTATGCCAAGAATGCCATCTAGCTCTAGTAATGGATTTCCTGGACGGCAACCTATGCCAAGAATGCCAAATAGCTTTAGTGATGGATTTCCAGGACTAACACCAAGTATGGCACCTGGAGTTCTGTCGGGAGATCGATATGCTGTGTACAAAGATCAGATTCGACCTAATATGCATAGATATTAGTTTGCATTTGGCAGATACTGGGCTGTTCACGTTGTAAGTCTCCCGTGAAGATTTTGTGATATTGATTATGCAATATGTATTTCTCGTAGGAGACCATCTGTATCATATTTGAGTTATAGATGCAAAAAAAAAAAGAAAAAAAACTGTGTATTTAAATCCGCCTTTTCCTTTCAATTACCAAATTAGAGAGATTTTTAAGGCTAAGTTGATTAGCAGCATTTGAGAAAACAATACATGCCACTTGCTACCAAAGTGACGAGCAGTGACAATGTAATCTCATCTTTTTTCTTTGTATGGAGAAGGAAAATCCTGTAGGAATGTTTCCAAGTGCGGGGATCTGCTGTGAAGTGTAAACACAGTATGTTGGTATACATTGGACCTGCATATGGTGTGGCCCCATGTGTAGGGAACACTGGCATGTTCACTCATGATTGATTAGTAGCCCGCTATACATGCTTGAGTTTGCAGCAGATCGGAGTCTATTTCTACACCCTAATTTTTAAGCATGGAGCAGATTGGCCTGTTAAGGGTTTGGACCATCACCTAATGGGCTGGCTCAACTCCCCAAGCCAGATTTTATTGAAAACTGCTGAAGATGGTGTAAGTGGTAATGTGGCATTCTGGTTCAACCGCTTGCAAGGTAGATGGTCTGAAATCTGAATCTGAATGCACTTCTTTTTGGGTAAAAGACTTTAAATCTCCCTTGACATTTTTGAGAAATACTATAACTTCTCTTTTTGATAAAAAAAGACCAAGACTTTCAAACAAAGACCTCCCTTTCATCAGCCGTCCATCAAGCTCAGTTTACATGTGACGTTACATGGGGCTGAAATTTTTTGAAAAATCCAATTTTACCCCTTTATGGTCACTTAGAAAGAAAAGAAAGAATATCAAAAAGAATCTGATAACCTTGCTTCCTATTATTTCGAACAGATGTTGGAACTTGAAACCAATGGCCCACGGCCCATCCCCCGTTTATTGCGAACACCTTCCGTGCTTAATCGGGAGTCGGGAGATGTTCCCAATTCACGGAGGAGGATGGGTTGTGGGGTGATGACCGAAAAATGGCAACATTTTTTGACAGAGTATAAGGCTCTGTTCGTTACCACTTATCTTTATATTTGTACTTTATAATATAGGTAGTGTGCACTTTAAGAGGCTTTCAGAGCGTTCGTTTGCTCAAAATCTTCACACCTCTGAAATTTGTACGACATCCCATCAATCCATTGGCATTATAAATTTAATTCCAGTTTTATCCCTCTCTTTATATTTGTTTTCTACTTTCTACAACACACCCATCTTCCACACGAGTCACAAGGGTATCCATTATTAAAGAGAAATTTTACTATTTTGAAAATATGCAGAATTAGCAAGGGCAGAAGAGACTTTTTGATGATTGCATTGGACTTAACTCTACCAGAGGTCTTAGTCCATTTTTTAAAAGACAGAAAGTTTTAATATTTATCAGAAACATCAAGGGAGGTTTAAAGTTTTAATATTTGGCATCAAGGGAGGTTTAAAGTTTTAATATTTGGTATCAAGGGAGGTTTTAGGTTGATCAATGCAATTTGTTAGAGATTTTCTTTTTCTACCCAAAACATTGACTTAATCAATACGAATTACTGTTTCTACTCAAAACATTAAATTTGCAGTTTCAATTATTAATGTCATTGATCAGTCTCCTACATATGCAATTTTCTGATTGAAATGACTGACATGACAGCATATTTCTCACCGAGGTACCAAACACAACCTAAGGGGTGTTGAAAACATGGTTGGATTTGTTTTTGAACACCCCTGAAGTCTTTTTCCCTTTCGTTTTTATCTCTCAGTTGCAAAGGGTGATCCAAATTCCATCTCTTTAAATTCGATCAAATATGGATCTCCCCCTACCCGATCCAATTTGATTTGAATTAAATACATATACTAGTAAAAACAGGGAAAAAATACAGAAAGTGCAACAATGGTGTCTATCATATTTATTCCAAACTTGTATTCATCGTGTTATATGCTACTCACGAGTCCTACTATGCTGCATCATCATATTGTGGTCTCACTCGTTTTTATTTTTCTCAGAAAGATTTTCAATTCAAAGGGCAAAGAGAAAAGCTACTACAACAGAGACTCACGCGACAACACAGACATCAAGCTACACCGAAACTAGACCTAATACCACCGAAACAATCCCCTAACAACAGCATAAGCGAAAAAAAAAACTATGGGCCACGTTTGGTTCACGATCAGAATCGAAATTGGAATGGCCTATTTCGCCTGGATGTTTGGTTCTGACCGGAAACGGAATCGGATTCCGATTTATGCTGTTTGGTTCATTAAGAGGCTGGAATCGCAGTCAGCCATGATTTCCAATTTTGCCCCTAATAAAAAAAACAGAAAATGCATGAAAATACCAAAATTGCAGAAATTACAATAATTTTGTAGAAAATTCAGAGAAATGCATGAAAATACTCGAAATTTGCAGAAATTGCCAAAAAAAACTGTAGAAACTTTGCAGGAAAATGCAGAAATTACAACAATTTTGCAAAATTGCAGGAAATTGCAGAAAAATGCATGAAAATACCTGAAATTTTGCAGAAAATTGCAAGAAAATCAGAAAAATGCAGAAATTACAATAATTTTGTAGAAAATTCAGAAAAAAATGCATGAAAATATCAGGATTTTGCAGAATTGCAAAAATTGCAGGAAAATGCAGAAATTACAACAATTTTGCAGAAAAATGCATGAAAATACCTGAAATTTTGCAGGTGTTTATGAAGAGTAAGCAAGGGGTTCTGTGCTAGGAGACAACCTAACATGAGGATTATCACTTTTGTACATAGTATTCTTTCAACATTCATAATTAATAAAAGCTGCATGTAAATGTATTTCATTATTAATTCCATTACAAAAGTTTCAACCTTATTTACAGATTCATAGTGTTGAATGTGCTTATTAGTTATTACAAAAGAATATTGATTTTAAGATACAAAAGAAACAACATTTCTTCTATGATCTTCTAAATTCAAAATAGGAAATAACAAAAGGCAAGTAAATATATTCCTAACCAAATTCAAAATAGGAAAGTTGTTTAGAACTAATATGAGATTTCTACAGTTTTATCTATCATGTAGAGCTGTTTTAGAACCAACAAGTAAATCCTAGAAACATGTTCATGAAGTAGAAGCTGTTCAAAAGTAACAAGTGTTGTTGACATGAAATATCTACATATTTACCAGTTAAAATATTTGCAGTAAATCAACTTGGGAAGCCATAATTATAATCTGGTAATGTCATGGGAGAGTAAGGCTAATGTTTGTAGTACACGAAATAACTTTTAGAAACTTGAACCAGGCAGGTAAATTCAGTAACTTGTACAAGTCATAAATTTCATAGATACTCTCATTACTCAACCAAATAACCACCATTTTATTCCCCATGTCAAGCCATTAAGTAAGACAAAGCTTATCAACTCAGTTTACCTTCAGCTTATTAGGTCTAGAAAATGGGTTCACTGGCAAAACCTGCTCAAGCAATAACAGAGAAAAGCTTGTCTACGATTCCATCATTGCCGTACAAGTAAGGAATGTATCCTTTTCTCAAGTGTCCACTCTTTTGGAGACTCCCAACATCAGCACATTCATCATGTCCATCGATTTTTGACCATTTGGTTATGCTTCCTAACCATTCAAGAATATATAGCAAAAAGGAAACCTGCAACCATTTAATGACAAAAATATTGATCATGTTGTGACATGTTTTGTTATTATTTTCCTTCATTTCTGGATTTCTCCTACATAATGAGTGCCAATAATTTGCATGCATGTACTCCAGAGAGGTTTTTGGAAGTTTACCAAAGAAACCAAGAGCATTTCATATTACAAGGCTCAATACCCAATAAAGCAATTGACATGTGTTGTAAGGTAAATTTTAATGGTCATAATTCCACAAAGATGTCATATTCCAATAACTCCTTATGAAATTGTAGGTTTGACACAAATAGAGAACATCCCCCTATTGATAATTTAAATTTATATAAACGTAGTTAGAATTCTTTCCCTGCACTTAATTTGACATAATTGACCCATGCACAGGCTACAAAATCAACATTGCAACAGAACAAAGAATCCCTCAACCCTCTGGCACCAAGGTCAACAAGCCAGCAAGGTTATTAGCAAAATTAGAAAACTGGAATCAAGGACAACAATATAAGCCAAGGCTCTAGTCTTAAATTGAAATTCAAGAGATCTTCCAAGGATAAGCAGAAAGTGAATTGAGCAACCCAATGGTAGCACTGGAGCCCCCTTCTACCTCCACCTTATGCAAGTCAAATCTATTGATATTCCAACATTCTCTAACAATGCTAAGAGCCTAAGACTTCAACCTTTTTTAAAGTAAATTAAAAATTGTATTAAAAGGAGTTATGCAGCCTTAGCATAAAAGAAAACAACAAAATACCACAAACCTAACAAGACAAAAGAGTGACAGTAAAAATTAGCCACTTCCTGTCAACCCTAGTCCCATACATGAAGCACTATACAAAAACCATGGAACATGCCAAAAACAAAGGAAAACAAACAGAATGCCGAGCAAACCAAACACAAATGTGCATAACCACATCCAACATGAACCACCAGAAAATATCACAAACATCATCTACCCCCATCAAACCACCTCACAAGACCATCTGCATTCTGCAATCTCTGACATTTTTACTTCCTGCTGCCCCTTCTGCCTCTTCCCTTCATGCTTGCACTCTTCCTTCTCTCTGACTTCTCACCCCCTGATGAATCTACCTTTCCTTTCTTAATCTTTCTACATCCCCTTCCTCTAGCTGCCATTGGCTTCAGCTTCAACATTTATTAATTCTACCAAATATATATATATATATATATAAACTGTCAATATTACTAACATATGAAGCAGTTTCCATATTAATGGCATCAGTTAACACATTAAATCAGAATTTACATGTTTGTTGATCCAAGTGCCTGATTGAGCTAATGATTTTTCCTTTTTTCTTTCTGGAGGGGAAGTAACAGATATTCTATTAGGAAACATAGAAAGCATATAAGTAGAATGATGGGTGCCCCACTATCCAAGATAATGGAATTTCCTGCACCTAAAACCAAAACATATGGTACAAGTTGAAAAAGGTAAGTCAGCAACTTAGATCTCTAAAGGCTTGTGATCAGTGTCATGAATCTGCACAACTTGGTCTTGATTTAAGTTAAGCACATAAGCATTTGTAGGTTTCTGAGAATACTAATATTTTTGAAATAAATTAAAAGAATTTATTAATGATGAAACTAAGTAAACAAGAAGCATAATAAATACCACCCAAGAGTGAGAAAAAAAGAAAACATCCAACCTTCTAGACAAGAACTCCTAACATCATGATAAAACTACAATGACAAAACCAAACTCTCTCCAATTACAAGCTAGGTGGGAATCAAGAAACAGCAAGCGCCCAGTCAATAGGACATTATTTCTCCTTATCACACTATGGCCTCTGTCTCTATTGCTTTTTGAGGTACCCTTGTCAACCTTCGTGCAATTGCTGACCCCCTTTTTAACCCATTTTGTATTTGCCACTATTAATCACTGCTGCCAAGAATCCCATTTTAGTCTTCTTCCAACCTATACCCCTAGAGACCCATGGCTCCACCAGGACCACCACATCTTTCTCAACAACATTACAAACCAACCCAATAAAATTCTCTACGTCATCCTTAGTTTCAAAAAACCACCTCCGGCATCTGGACTCTCCTACACTTCTCATATTTTTACAACTTTCTGAATATCTCCAACACAAAATTGATGCAAGTATTTGCAACTTAACAAGAAAATACTATGCAATTATTTTATGTCAGGATCAAAACAATGTCTAAGCTAAATTTGAAAAGAAGAATAAATAAATAAAACACAAAGCATAACGGTGCAGCTATTGTGCAAAAGAAAAACACTATAATGGTACATTTTATACGGATCTTAAACAATACGTACCTTTGTTGAAAATGATTCGTCTTCTGTGAAGATTGGATTACATATGAAACCGAAGCAATTAGATCCCACACCAGAGCATGGGCGGTTGATTTGGAAGGAGGAGGAGGACGAGGAGGAGAATGATTCAGCAGCGCTCCTACCTTACCTCGCCAGAGGTTGTTTCGGCGACGGCAGATGGTTTGGAGTTCTACATTGCTTGCAGTCTCTGTCGGCGATGGCTCTCTGTTTGACTAGGGTTGGAAATGAAGGGGGTATTTTTGTAAAAAACAAAAAAAAAATCAACCATAAACCGGAATGGGAATCGCATTCCTTTGGGGGGTTGGGAATGGCCATTCCCCCATACGGGGGATTCCCATTCCGCCTAGAATGGGAATGGGATTCCCATTCCAGTCAATCCACTTCTCATAATTAATAATAAATTGTTTGTCTTTATTGTGAATATTCCATTTATATCTGCATAATGCAAATGCCAATCTCATGAAACTAACAAATGGATCTATTGGGTTTAAAAACTGAATGAACTAATTCTGAGTTGAAGCTTAATACTTGGGTTAGTGATTTAAAAGGCATGCCTAGGCGCATAGGTGAGGTATGTGCCTCGCCTAGGTCCATGGTATACCCCTTTCAAAAGGTACACGCTTGGTGTGCCTAGGCATAGGCATGTGCTTTGCACCTCAGCCCAGGTGTGCACTTTTTTAATATTTTGCACTTTTTGCTTTTTTTTTTTGAGTCTTACGGTTGGGCTGGGGGCTCCACCCCTGAACCCTTGACCACGCCCCTTGAGACAAGTTTGAACAAATCTATGTTAAGGTCTGAAATTCTTATTTCTCACATAAAAAAGAATTTCAGACCATAACATAGACTTGTTTGGGCTTGCCTCAAGGGGTGTGGTACAAAGGCGACTCATAGAATCAAGAATGTAATATGTTTTGCATCACATTAGCTACTTAAAGCAATGCAATTAAGGAAAAAAGAGATTGTGGGTTTTGCATGTTTGAAAATGCTTTATATGTTTGCTTTTATTTTTAAATTTTCATTTGAATACGCTTTACATGTTATGTTTATGTATTTTAATTTTAGATAATAGGCTTTTTAAAACATTTATTTTAAAATTTAAGTTTATATTTTTATTAACATTATGTTTAATATTTTATTTTGCATTTTTTAAAATTTTTGGCATATTTTGAATTTTCTGACTTCTTTTTTTTTTTATAATTTTGCACCTTGCTTGCTAACCTCCCTATAAATAGCGGATTGTGAATCAGACACAAATGGAATCAAATTATGAACCTGGTGACTGAGGAAGCAACAAGTACCTCCAGTGGATTGGTTATATACCTTTTGTACTTTGTTTGGCTTTTCTTCCCATCTTATTTGTTTATTCGACTAACTTACCTTTGGATTTTGCATTGTGTCATAAACTTCTTTTCTTTTTTAATAAGTGTTTAACTATTTATTTTGTGCTTACATATATCAAGCTTGACATTTAGTAATCCACCACTTGATTTAATAATTGGATTTTCAGATTATAGATGGCATACTCTCCCGCAATTGCTTGCCAGTCATAGTTGGGGGAACAAATTATTATATCCAGGTATGCACTGTATTTTATGTTGCTTTAAAGGAATAGATATTGAGGTTGTATCTGATATTTTGTATGCAATTATTTCTCTGAGGTACGTTTTTCTCCACCCTGCTTTGTGCCAATGTTCCGAAAATTGTAATCATATTGTTAGTTGTAGAGAATGCTGATTTATTTGTAAAATACTTTAAACATATTGTAATCATGGATTGTAAAATACTTTACAAGTTGGCTGAAATCTTTTTTCTCCTCTCCTAGTCCCTTACAGTAAGTGAAGGATTGTATTCTAACCAGGGCTATTTATTGGCTGAAATCTTTGGATTCCTTAGCTCCTTTCCTTTGGATGACTTTTGGAGGAATTGAAATGTTATGTCCCATTCCTCGGTTAAGAAAAAAAGATCTGTAACAGTTTGGGCACCTCCTCTAGAAGGTTTTTACTAAATTGAATTTTGGTGGTAATAGCCAAGGCAATCCATGACCATTAGGAATTGGAGGGATTCTGAGAAATGAGGATGGCAACAGTCTCTTTGTTTTCAGGCCCGGTGGGAATAGGGGACTCTACAAAGGTGACTGAGTTAGTGGCTGCAGTACAAGGAATTCAGATTACCAACCAACTTGGAGTAGAGAGTCTACTTATCGAAGGAGACTCCAAGGTGATTGTGGGTTGGCTGGTGAACCCAGATTCAGTTGTTTGGTATTATAGGGACCTCGTAAAAAAAGTCAAATGCTTAACAAGACTTTGGCCGACTCTCTTGCTAAACAAGGGTCCTCTAGGGATGCGTTATTTTGGGCAGCTATGTAATCTGTTTTTATGATCCTTTGTAATGATTATTAGGAGAGGCTGCACCTTGTGCCTCTCCAAGGGAGGCTTGTAAAGTTATATTATGCTTGATTAATGAAATCAATTTTGAATCATATAAAAACACTTTAAAAGTTTAAATGTTGAATCAAATTGAATTATGAAATGAATTGCATCAAAATCATAAAATTATTTCTGATTTTTTTTTTCAAAATACWTTAAATGCATGGTAATCAAACTGAATTACAATATTTTAAACGTATTTGCAGTAAAAGGATCATGGATTAGGTTGTCATTCTTCCAGAGTTTGAGGGGTTTTCAAAAGAAGATCTTGGTGCTGGTTTTTGGAATCTCCTTGAGTTGGTCTGGAGTTACATTCTTCTCATTTTTTGGTTATAGTCTTTCTTTTTATTGCTATCTTATCTTCTTGTACCTTTCTGTATTTCTTGGTGATCTCTCATCATCCTCAGTTGTACTGTACCATCTATTATTAATAAATTTTTTCTTTTTTATTTATTACCAAAAATACTTTAAACATCTATACTACAAACTTAAATGCATAGAAAGATGATTTGACCACATTTTCAATCCAAATCTATCATTTTAGTAAACAATAGAACAAATTTTTCAACTTTACACTACAAGTGATGATACGAGCAAGTTTAACTTCAAGTTCAATTAACCTAAACAATATGGCTTTTTAGCCTGCATATGATGGAAAATAAACGGAAAAAAAAAAAAAAAGATTTTGAAATAGGTTTTAGATTACTCAAGCAGACCTTATTCTAGCAAGGGTTTTAAAATAAAAGCCCTTCAGGAAAAAATACAAATACAAACCTAGGTCCTTTCCAAATTGATTCAATTGTATGTTATAAGATTCATGAATGAAATCATAAGATTCAAGAAATAATTGAATTAGAACAATTGTGATTCATGATTTGAATTTGAATTGTATTTTAAATCATAAAATTTTTAAAACTCTTCTCTGTTCATTAATGGTTAGTAATATGGACATCCACTCGGGTTGGAATTTTTGTTCTTCTTACTTTTGTATGTTTGTGCAGTAGAAAATTCGTGTCACTCTGTCCAATTAATTCTTGGATCAGTATTCTGTTTTCATGACATGGATTGGTTTATAAATCTTCATCTGCCACCATGATTGGTTGAGCTTGTCTATTGTAAAACTCACAGTGTTAGTTAATTAGAGGTTATCATTATGATTGCTTATCTTCTCAATTTTTGTTATAGTTAGAAAAACCTTATTTATTTGGGCATGGGACATGGTTCAGATCCAGCGAATCATGTCTGTTTTAATGCTAAAATGTAATGGATTGGGCATGTATCCAGTACACAGACGGACAGACACATTCTGTTTAAGCTGTACAGTCATACTTTGTATATGAGGTTTTGGGCTTGTACATGTATTTTCGGGGCTCTGCCTATCAGTAATGAAGACACACCCCTCTCAAAATAACTTATTAATTGATGCTTTTTATGAAAAAAATGTTACTATCTGGAAATGTTAATAAAAAACATTATCTTCAGAAAAACGTTTTTACCTTTTCTCAAAACAATGTTTTTATGAAAAAAAATGCATTAAGAGTTTAAAAATCTGGAAAAATATTGCTATCTGGGGTCTTGTGACCGGTGGAATTTGAATGCTTCTTAAGTTATTGGGATTTGGCTGTTTTTTGTCCAAATACAATATGTTCTTGTATGCATATTCATTGGTTAACCAATCTAAGATGAATCAATGTGACCCAGAATTTTGGGATTAGGTAGATTCAACTGTCAGAGATTCCCATATTCAAACCCATGTAGCCTAGTATTATCTTTTTTTCCTGTTTTTGGGGAGAGGAAGGATTTTGGTTTGATAATATCTTGTGAGTGCTGCCAATGGTTAGAAACAGGCTGGTTCAAGATTGACCTGGAACCAATCTCATAAGGGGTTTGATTAGAAGCACAAGTGCACAATTAATCTAGATGCTGTGGGATCTGAGGGTAATTGGTCCATAAACAACCTTTTAATATTTTGGGTTTACCAGGCTTGACCTAGTTACTTGAGACAATGTTTTGAAGGCATGCTTCATGTATGCCTACTCTTATGGGTGAGGCTTATTTTTCCGTGTGCACCCTACCTGGCTTTTTGACACATTTTGATCAATTGACCTTTTACCTGGCTTCTTGAACACGCTTTGGTGACTCTAAGAAAAGAGCGGCGGTAAAGAAGGTGCTTGAAGAGAGGCAACCTAGTCTGGCATTGTTCCATGAGACAAAGAAGACATAAAAAGACAAAGGAGAGCTGTAGTAAGCAATTAGTAGAGGGGGTATGAAGGAAACCAAATTTGTATTCCAGCCTTCAGTTTGGAGTGTCTGGTGGTATGCTCCTGATCTGGGATATGAATGGACTTGCATGAAGGAGCTGTTGGGCAGAGATTAAATCCTTTGTTAATAGATGGAGCCTCCCTATTTGTATTAGAGGTGATTTTAATATTATCAGATTTGTTCAGGAAAAGGAGGGGGGAGGCTGTCACCTGAGATGATTGAATTCAGAGAGTTTGTCTACAGGTTGCAGCTATTGGATTTGCCATTACAGGGAGCGGAGTATACATGGAGCAGTTTCAGAGATAACCTGGCTTTGTCTAAACTGGACAGGTTTCCATTGACAATAGGCAGGATGACACGTTTCCAGGTTCAGTACAGGTGGCGTTAGCTCGGCCAACATCTGATCATTGGCCAATTCTTTTGAGAGTGGGGGCTAGAAACAGAATGCCTAGGCCCTTCAAGCTGGGGATGATGTTGTTCCAGATCCCTGGGTTCTTTGGCAAGTTAGAGGAGTGGTAGAATGAATCCCAAGTGTCTGGTTCTGCATGTATGGTGTTCTGGAGGAAGCTAAAGTACTTAAAGAGCAAAATCAAGGCCTGGTGCAAGGAA